ACTCGGCGGCGGCTGCGGCGGCCGCGCTGGCCGGCCAGCACCCCGCGCTTTCCTACCCGTACCCGCAAGTGCAGGGCGCGCACCCCGCGCACCCCGCCGACCCCATCAAGCTGGGTGCCGGCACCTTCCAGTTGGACCAGTGGCTGCGGGCGTCCACCGCGGGCATGATCCTGCCCAAGATGCCGGACTTCAACTGTGAGTATCCGCTCAGCGCCCGACCCGCCGCCTCGTGCGTCCTCCTCACCCAGCACCTTCTTCCTTTCTGCCCTCTGCTTCGGGTGAGCTGCGGATGCGCCGCGAAACCGCCTCGCCGCACCCCCGGGCCTGCGAGGCCTCGCGTGGGCCGCGCGGCGGGAGAGAGGTGGCGAGTTATTAAGATGGCCATGCGCAGGCCTTGCCTTCTCTGCCTCTCTTAACGGGCAGCGGCAGTTGGAGGTGTGAGGCTGAAATCTAATGATTAACCTGCAGCTTGCAGAAGGAAGTGCGCGGGAAGGTTAGCCTAAGAGGGCCCTGAATGGGGCAGGTTTCAGGGTCACTGACACCGGGGACTTATCACTAGGAAAAGGAACTTGGCCAGGGGCTTCATAATGGGCTACGGAGAGATTCACGGCTTGCAGTCCGGGACTGCAAGGTTAGGGCCCAAGCTCTTCCCTGGGTCTTGTTAGAACTCTTCCTTCTTCTGAAGGGGTAGGAGGTCCGCATGCAATGCCCAAGGGGTCTGATTTGAACTGAACCGACTCTAAGGGGCAGGCGCCCAACACCCTAGGGAGCGCCTGCTCAACGGGACAAGGAGGCCCAGGCATGGGCGATTTCAGAGCTGCTGGTCTGCCATTCTTTCTTTGCCACTCAAAGGGGGACACCTTGCAGAGGGGCCGTTTCAGGCTTCCCTGGCACAACTCTGCACCTTCCTGTAGGGCACTCTTGGCTCTAGCTCTCCAGCCCTACATCCCGCTCATCTGGGCAGGGCCAGGCTGCTTTTCCTGCCTTTCCATTCAAGCCAGAACAGAAGATGTATATGGCTTTACACTGTCAGCCGCCCAACACCCAAACAAAGAGACCCCATTGTTTCCGTCTGAGTGGGTTTGTTTAGACTGGAGAGATGCAGGCACTGGAGGGAAAAAAGAAAACAGAAATAAACACTTGCCAGAATTCTGATTCCTCTGCTAGAAGCAGTGGTTATGACTAAACAGAGAAAAGAGAGAGGACCCCGGAGGGCTGCAGAAATCACAAGCCAGTGAGAGAATCCCAGCCTGCCACTGTTTGCTCACAGCCACCCAAGATTTTCCCAGCTTGGCTCCAAGAAGGCCTGACTGACCACCCATCCCTTCTCTTGGAGTCAGCTCAGTTGACCCCATCAAAGAGGGAAGGCTCCCATTAACCTCAGCTGGGGGGAGGGCAGGGGGGTGCAGCTCAGACTTTGTCCAATAAGCCCAGGGCACACTGAGGGCCTGGTGGAGGAGCCCAGCAAACCCTTTTAGTTGGAAAGCCACCAATAGACTTCCATTATGACAGCCCTTCCCAGGCATGAGATGCACAGTAGTCCAGAGCAGGCTGACCTCTGGGCCAAGGATCACCCACCTGCCTCTGGGGCTCTGGGTTCCCTGGTGCTTGCCAGGAGAGATGGGGTATTTTTCTGGAGCCTAGGGTCACCCAAAATTCATGAGTGGGACTCCTTTCCCAACACACCCGGTGGGTCCATCCCTGATCTCTAATCTTGGCTGAATCAAAAGCACAGCCCAATCTACTTTAGGAAAAGGAATCTGAGTCCCAGATCCTGAGGGGCAGTAAGGAATGAGGCGAGGACAGCAGGATGTGCTCCCAGGCCTCCCCTCTCACCCAGGAAAACCTGCTTGGTTTCTTTTAATTGGTTGTTTCTGCCCATTGGATGGTGTTTCCCAAATGGTCCCTTCAGAGCCTGTGTTTTAATTAGAGTTCTAATGTATTGTCAAGTTGGGAATTCGGGCCTTGTTTAACTAAAGCAGGGGGCGTGGGCCTTCCTATAAAGCAAATTGCCCATCCCAGGGGAGCCTGAGCTCATCTTAGCCTGGGGCTGGCCTCTTTCTTTGCTTTCTTTCTTTTATTGTCTAACACTTGTCAGACTCCTGGGGAATCAAGGGAAGTCTCATTTTGAGGTCATAAAATTCTCTGTGATGTAACCCTGTGAAATTATGTAAATAAAGCCAGACTGGTCTGGAACACACAGAAAGCTGGATCCAACCGCCCATGGCTCAGCCTTTAATTTGAGTAATGAGAAACGTCCTGGAAAGGCTTCCAGTCCCCAGCCATTGCCCTCTGCACCCAGAAGAGGAGGGGCCTGTCAAGTCAAAAGTGGGCAGGTCCTGAAAAATATGCCTATTTAGACTCCAGCTTTGGGCCTTCTGTCTCTTCTTTCCTTCTCTCCCTCTCTCTTTCTTTTTTCTATTTCCCCGCCCCCCTTTTTCTTCTCTTCTCCTTTAAGAAGGTGGTAGGCTCTTCTCAAGCTGGAGTTGGGAGAAGACCCTCCCCAGGAAGATAGGAAGTGTGGTCTCTCCCTGGTCCAGCCAGGCTCCCCAAGCCTTTAGACCAACCTTCTTCCTACTAGGGACTAAGGTGATCCCGCTGGCTACTGCACAGGCAACAGGCGTTCTTTCCTGGGGACCCTCAGATGAAGAGATTGGCTATTAAGCCTCAACTCTCCGATTACACTTGGGGGTCTGAGTTGTGAGTCCTCTGGTCCTTGGGGAGTAGGTACTGGCGTTGAGGAGGAAGCTCCCACATCTACTGGGCGGGCGCTCATGGTGGGACCCTGGGTTGGGGACAAGGGGCAGCGTGGGTGGAAGTGGGCAGCAGACTTGGGTCCATAGGGGCCTCACACCCTTTTGGTCCGCAGCTCAGGCGCAGTCAAACCTCTTGGGGAAGTGCCGACGGCCGCGCACCGCCTTCACCAGCCAGCAGTTGTTGGAGCTGGAGCACCAGTTCAAGCTCAACAAGTACCTGTCGCGGCCCAAGCGCTTCGAGGTGGCCACCTCGCTTATGCTCACCGAGACCCAGGTGCGCGCTGGACATCCCGCCCCCAGAGCAGCCTGTACCGGGCAGTTGTCACTGCTGCTGGGGAGTGTGGGGCCCAGCCCCTTGACCCCTAGAGTTCACATTAATTCTCCCAGAGGTTCAAGGATACACAGGCGATCTTTCCCTGGAGCTTTGATTCAGTAGGTTGGGGAGCAGGCGGAGAATCTGCATTTAACAAGCCCGGCTGCATTCTGGAGGCTTCCCTCGGGCCACATTCGAAAAGGTTCTTTTTCCAGAAAGGTGCCAACTTGAGATTTTAGAGACCTGAGCTGCCCTGGGCCTCTGGTGACTGAAGGTCCTGGCGAAAGAGTTCTCACCAGGGACTCAGGGACACCTCGCCCAGCGGTGGGGTTACTGATGAATAGGGTGGGTGTAGGGACGCGGAGGTGAGGAACCCCAGCCCAGCCAGCGGCTTAGACCAAGCCGAGCTCCTACCCGGACCCGGGCGGGGCGGAGGGACCGGTCCCGGGTCCTTCCGGGATTCTGGGCGTGGAGGTGCTGGGGTTCTCAGGCCCGCTTCTGTCTGCAGGTGAAGATCTGGTTCCAGAACCGGCGAATGAAATGGAAACGCAGCAAAAAGGCCAAAGAGCAGGCAGCGCAGGAGGCCGAGAAGCACAAGGGTGGCGGCGGGGACGCCTGCAAAGGAGCGGACGACAAGGGCGAGGAGGAACCCTTGGGGCCACCGGTGTCTGGGGACAAGGCCTGCAGCCGCCGCCTGCGGGACTTGAGAGACAGTGACCCTGACGAGGACGAGGACGAGGACGAGGACGACCACTTCCCCTACAGCAACGGCGCCAGCGCGCACGCAGCCTCGTCCGACTGCTCCTCCGAGGACGACTCGCCGCCCCTGCGGCCCGGCGGGCTCGGGCACCAGCCCCCGCCGCAGTAGGAGCCCCGCCGGGTAGGAGGGACACCGGGTTCGGACCCCACCCTGCCGCCTGCAGCGGGCCGGGCCGCCTCTCTCCGGACCTTGCATTCAGGTGCGGGCTGTGGGCATCCTTTTTGGGCCCTCGAGGGACAGCAAGAGGGAGACCAAGAGTCCAACTTGAACTTTCTCGTTCTTTTAAATTTAATTTCGGGTGGCGTTGTGGGGGAGAAGAGCCGATCTCCTCTTCCCCCGTCAGAGAAGGGGAAACAGTGTTAGGTGACCTGGAAACTTGAAACCTCCTCTGGAACCTTCATTCTGCTGAGAATTGGGGGAAAAAGGTTTTAAGGTTTTATGCTTATGTGTCCGGGGCGGGGTGTGACTTACGAGCATTCAAACTGCTGGAAAATCTCAGAATGGTATTGTCTTTATTTTTGTATATTGTATTTATATATAAAGAAACAAATGTCTACTTCTGCATGCTAAATTATTTAGCTTCTCTCGCCCATCCCCCAGGATGGAATGTAAAATAAACTTTTTTACTGGATGAAAGTTAAAAAGTCTTCATTTGGGGAACGAGTGAGTGCTCTGTCGCCAGACTACATCCGCAAACCCTAGGGAGGACGTCTTTTGGGGTCCTCTTGGTTGCAGGAATGATGGGCCAGGTGTTTATTCCCCGATTATCACAAAGGGTGAAAGTCAGGATGACAAATGGGTGTCAGGGCGCCTGGGCCCCCAAGTGGAACCGAGGCTTGGCGGCTGAGGTACAGGTGTGAAGTGCAACTAAAAATAACAGGTGTCGGAGTGTTCGGGTTCTGCGGATCCTGGGCCCCAGACTCCTCGTAGGGGAGTGACTTTGGATACTGTTATTTTACTTACTTTCCGGGTCTTCTTCCTTCGTTGGTTTTCCTGAAGTGGAACTACGGTATTAGACGGTTTCAGAAAAATAAGCCGCAACCGTCTATGCGTCAGTAGCGTTTGGGGTTTGAGGGGCGGGAGACGCTAGTCACGCACAGTTCCCGGAAAGCGCTGAATGGCGCGGTGCGGTTCTTTCTCCTTGACCCCCGCCCTCTCTGCCAGCAGAATCTCCCTTGTGCTGGCCAGGAACGGCTTTGTTGGATGTGTACAAATGTCTTCCGAGAGGCCAGCGGCGGGCGGCGGGAACGCCAGACCCGCGGTGGCTCCGGGTTAATAAACCTCTGCAGGGAGCGCCATCAATCACTCCGCCCTCTGGCCATGTGCAGCGCACATGCCCGGCCCGGTCCGCGGCGCCCGCCACTCTGTGCGCCCCGGCCCCGCACTCCGGACCCCCAGGTGCGCCTCCCCCTCTTGGCTCCCTGCTCCCCTCCTGACGGCGACCAGCTCACCGACACCTCCAGTCCCGGTTCGGCCCAGTGCTGAATTCACCCTTTCTCGCCCGCACCTGAGCGAGGCTGAGCCTCCCCTCCCCCTACTGCTGAGCCTTCCCTCCCAGCTGATGAGAGTTCAGGAGGGCCTGGCGTTTCATTTGGGTGATTACCGCGGGGCCAGCGGGGCACTCCTCCACCTCTGAGCGTAGCCAGATTAATATCCTCCTGGCAGCTCTTTATCATGCCGGGCTCCTTCCGTAAAACCGTCGCCTGCAGAGGCGGGGCGCCGGGCTGCGAGTCAGGCAGGGCCGGAGGAGTGGAGGGCGCGGGGCTCGGGTCTCCAGCAACCTCCTGGTCCAAAGGCGATTTTGGGGGGAGGCGTACCCCACTGAGTTTACAACTGGCAGAAGAAAGGGAGTGGGGGAATCAGCGGAGAGAGGGTACACAGGTGCCTTTTTATTTTTTTAAATCCGTAACCCGTATGTGTTTCTTTTTAAATTTCTAACACATTGGCGAAGTTCAGCCCGAAGCAATCTGTTCCCGGGCTGGCTCCACATCTGGGGATGTTTCCCCCCAGAGCGTGGCAGCCCCGGTCCCAGAGCCCCGGAGCCCTAAACACGGGGTAGTTAGGAAAAGGAGAACGGAGGCCCGGGAGGCTAACGTCCGGCCCCGGGACTCCGGGTGCCTCCACCCCAGAGGGAGACGCTGTCCTGGACAAAGGCAAGCGGACCAGAGGAAGAAAGGATCACCAGGGCACCCCGTCCTCCTCCAGAGCAGCAAGGCTAGTTTGGCGCAGGGACCTGCCGCCGGCCTCAGCGTTTCTAGCCAGCAGCGTAATCGCGGCGGAATTTATCTCGCTAATAAATTTAATGATCAATTCGTTCTTGTCACAGTAGCTCTTCCCCAAATCAATTATAGCAAATTTAAATATAATCATTGGCTCATCCTCGCCTACTCTGGGCACAGCGCACATTCATTCCGCTTAACGAATGACCGCGAGGCCTCTCCGCGCGTGGCAGCCGCGCTGGGGCTCCGGGTGCTGCGCTCGGGGTCACTGACCGGTTTTGGCCGCGGGCAGGAGAGGCTTCGGACAGCTCCTGGATTCCCACCCGAGGGTCTGTGACCTCAGGCAGAGGGTGGAGGTGGGGAGGTGGAGGAGGGGAGAAAAGGCTTTGCAGCCCCAAGGACTGGGTTCCTGGAACTGGAGCCAGCCAGGTCTATGCAGTGAGAGCCCCCCCAAAATGTGCGCAGACATCCCCAGGTGTACTAGCTCGCCACTGCATCTGTGTCTCCAAGCAAAATGCGCCATGCAGACAGGGCCACTTGCCTGACTTTGCTGTGCAGGGTCTGCGACCACACAGAACCTTCCCCCAAGCGAAGGTGACCTCAACTCCCTGGAACCCCAGCTCTACCCTCCTAACCGGTAGGCCTGACCTCTGCACACAGGTTTTCTTGATTCTAACCAAAAGTTCTTCCCAAACCATTCTTGTGAACCGATGAAACAATCTACAGGGCCCTTCAGAGCACTCCTGGCCGTGAGATACCAGTAGGAAACAACTTAATAGCTGGTCTGGAAGCCCAGACCAACTAGAAAGTAGAGGAGATGATTTTTTTTTTTTCTGTCCATACTGCCGAGTACCCACATGGAAGGCAGTTTGGAGAGGGCAGCTGTATAACTCTATGACACCCCCCCAAAGCACAGACAACATAAACAAAAATAGATGGGTGTCCACCATACTGTAAAACCTCAAAGCCAGTAGGGACCTGGTCATCAGAAAGGGTAGCAGAGGAAAGGCAGAAAAATGCAATCCATGTCCGTCCCATAAGGAGAAGAAAGAGCTACAACAGCAGAGCAGCTCCAAACCTCAAAAGGGTTACAGTGCATGTTTCTCCAAAGAAGACATACAAATGGCCACAAGAATTCTTCACAACCCTATCTCACACCCATTCGGGCAGCAGACAGACACAAGCACAGAACACAGACTATGACAAGCAATGGTGCAGACCAGACGTGGAGAGACCGGAACCCTTGTGCCCTGGATAAGAATGTACAACAGTGCAGTCATCGTAAAAAACAATATAGAAGTCTCTCAAAAAATTATAATCAGTGCCTGACGTGGTGGCACACGCCTTTAATCCCAGCACTCCAGAGGCAGAGGCAGGTGGATCTCTGTGGTATGAAGGCCAGGCTGGTCTACCTAGTGAGTTCCAGGCCTAGTGGGGTTACAGAGAGACCCTGTCTCAAAAAAGACCAAAATAAAATAAAATGGAGGAGGGAATATAGCTCAGTGGTAGGATGCTTGCTTAGCATGTGTGAGTTCAATTCCCAGCACTCAGCACCCCCTCACCCCCCACCCCGCCCAAACTAAACTACCGTATGACCCAGCACTCTCAGATATCTGTATGTATCTGCCTCTACATTCATGTTTATTACAGCATTACTCATCAGAGGCAAGAGATGCTCAGTTGCAGGTGAGTTGATCTGCAAATGACACTGGTGCAGTGGAGGAGGGAGGGCCTTGCCATCCACTGCAGGGGATGAACCCTGAAGAACTTCCCTGAGAAAACGAGGTTGATTTCACTTTCTTAGGATTTAAAAATGTTTAATTACGCGTGTATGTGTTTGTGTGTCTGTGTAGGTATGTGTGCCACTGAGGCCAGAGGGTTTGGATCCCATGGAGTTACTGGGAGTTGTCAGGAGCTGAGAACCAAACTCCAGTCCTCTGCCAGAGCAGAGGACACTCTTGGGAAATTGAGAAAGTTCTAGAGATCTGCTGCCTACAAGCGGCAACACTACTGCACTATACCCTTAGAAATGGGTATGGGTGGGGCACACCTGTCACCCCAGCACTGCAGAATGGCCTGGTCTACGCAGGAAAACCGAGCAATAAAAACTGATGACGCTGGTGACGCTGGTGATGGTGTTGGTATCACAAGTCTGTGACTCCCATCATTCTGGAGGCTGACGCAGGAGATTGCCTGGGAGTTTGAGGTCAGTGTGAGCTACCGAGCAAGACCCAATCTTAAAAAAAAGGTGAGGATGGTTTTCCCGTCCTGGGTCTCTACAGCGCGGCTGTTACACTCCCAGCCTCTACATTTACCCCCTTCTCTTCGGCCATCCTGCCCCCCTTCCTCTCTCTTGAACTCTCCCCTTACAGAGAAAAGCCGGATCTACCACGGAGCTAAGGAGCGCCAGGCCCTGCGCTCTGCAGGGCAGCCTCCACCCCGGCTGCTCGCTGGGCCCCCGCGCTGCACGCTGGTTCCACCCGGCACCTCTGAGGTTTTCTAGTTAAAGAGCCGGGGTCGCCTCCGCTGTCCCCGGGGGTGGAGGGCAGGTCTAGGGGCGGCCTCGGGGCGGGTCCGCGGGGCCTCAAAGCTAGCCAGGTGCAGACCCCTGGGGGGGAGTGGCTCTGGGAGGCGGCCAGGAAATACCCCAGGAGCCCAGGGAGGGGGCGGGGCTCTGGGGCAGCGCAGGGTGTGGGCGCCGCGGTGGGTGCTCCCCGCCCCCCAGTATCAAAGTCCTGCGGTACACTGTGTCTCCCCCAATAAAACTAATCCCCACGGAGGTGTGACCTGCGCCAAGAATGCCGCAGTGTTCAGACTACAAGGGCGAATATGTTTTTCAGATTTGGATTTTATGGTCGGATTAAAGTTTATTTTCCATAATAGGACACC